TTCAACTCAGGACCTACGCACTGTCTCTGAGCTTCTTTTGCTCAAGGCTAGCACTCTACCAGTTGAGCCACAATACCACTTCTGGCTTTTTCTGTTTCTGTGGTACTGAGGAATTGAACCCAGGGCTTCATGTATGCTAGGCAAACACTCTACCATGAAGCCATATTCCCAGACCCGCCCCCCCCAAACCTTTTGTATATGTGATTAATGCCTATTTTTATATGTAACCAGTTTGTATAAAAATTCTGAGTCTCCCCTCCCTCAGGATCCCAGCCTCTTTCTGGCACTAGCCTAGTTTGGGTCACCAGCAATAAACTCTTTATCCTCTTTTATAGTGGCCTTGATCTTTGCTGGTCTGTGCTGCCATATACCTGAGCAAGCTTTGAACTGTGACCCTAAGATCTCAGCCTCCTCAGTAGTTAGGATTATAGGCATGAGCCACTAGCATCTGGCAGCTACTTCCTCCTCCTTCCCCTCTTCTTCTTCCTCCTTTTCCTTCTTCTTTTGTCTATCATGGGGCTTGAGCTCAGAGCCTGGGTATTGTCCCTGAGCTCTTTTTTGTTGTTGTTGCTGTTACCAATCCTGGGGCTTGAACTCAGGACCTGGGCACTGTCCCTGAGCTTCTTTTGCTCAAGGCTAGTACTCTACCACTTGAGCCACAGCGCCACTTCTGGCTTTTTCTGGGTATGTGGTACTGAGTAATCCATCCCAGGGCTTCATGCATGCTAGGTAAGCACACTACCACTGAGTTACACTCCCAGCCCCTCCCTGAGCTCTTTTTGCTCAAGGCTAGCTCTCTACCTTTTTTTTTTCTAGTCTTGGGGTTGAACTCTGGGACTAGGCACTGTCCCTCAGCTCTTCAGCTCAAGGCTAGCACCCTACCACTTGAGCCACAGTGCCACTTCCAGCTTTTTTCTGCTTATGTGTTGCTAAGAAATCAAACCCAGGGCCTCATGGATGCAAGGTAAGCACTCTATCACTGAGCCAACTTCCCTGCCCTCTCTACCATTTTGAACCACAGCATCCTTCTGGTTTTCTGGTGGTTAACTGGAGATAAGAGTCTCACTTACTTTCCTGCATAGGCTGGCTTTGAACTGCAATCCTCAGATTTCAGCCCTAGGGTTATAGGTGTGAGCCACCAGTGCCCAGTCTTTTTACCTTTTTCTTTCTTTCTACACATTATCATTTTTTTTATTTCTTTGTATATTGTTATTAACAAAATTAGTATGCTAAAATATCTTCCCATTAAAAAAAAAGTATTCCTTTATTGAACATCCTTATTCTAAAGAGTGCGTGTCCCCGTGTCCCTACACACACCCCTGCTTCTGAAGTTTGAACTCATGGTTTCATGCTTGCTCTGCTGGTGCTCTAGCTCTATTAGTTGAGCCAGGCCTCCAGACTTTTTATGTTATTTCAGAGAGGAGTTTCCACTGATTTCTGCCCAGGCTGTTTCAAAGCCAGATCTGGATCTCAGCCTCTAGAGTAATTAAGATAATAGGCATGAGGCACTGGCACTGGGCTCAAGACTTTTTGTTTGTCAGTCACTGGGCTTGAACTCAGGAGCTCTTTCTCTCAAGGTTAGCACTCTACCACTTGGAGCCACAGCTTCATTTCCTATTTTCTGGTGGTTCACTAGAGGTAAGAGTCTCATTAACTTTCCTGCTCAGGAGGGTTTAGAATCATAATCCTCAGATCTCAGCCTCCTGAATAGCTAGAATTACAGCCAGGAGCCACCAGATTCTCTTATGGACACATTGCAATCAGACACAAATAAAAAAGGAAAAAAATCAGTTTATATGATGTGTAAATAAAGTATTTTCAGAGTCTATAAAGCCATGAAATACTAGTGTGATTGATAAAAAGTGGTGGGCTTAGTTTGAAGACAAAGCTGACAAAATGTATTAATGAGATTGAATTCATGAGAATATGATGGTTTCATTAATATGTTTCATTCAGAAAGGGCCTAAAGTCATATCACTATCAACTCAATTACAATTATTAGTGCTATTTACCATCAAAGCCAAAGAAATTATTTTCTTTCCTTTATACCATTTATCTGTTAAAGCAATAGAACAGAAAATGGTATGTGTAAATTATAACACTGGCTTGGCACCAGTGGATCATGCCTGTAATCCTAGCTATTCAGGAGGCTGAAATCTGAGGATCATGGCTCAAAGCCAGCCCCAGGCAGTAAAGTCTAGGAGACTCTTCGTTTTTATTTTTGTTTTTTGGGGGGGGCTGGTCACGGGGCTTGAACTCTGGGCCTGGGCGCTGTCCCTCAGCTCTTCAGCTCAAGGCTAGCACTCTACCACTTGAGCCACAGCGCCACTTCCATGGGAGACTCTTATCTGGAATTAACCACCAGAAAACTGAAAGTGGCACTGTGGCTCAAGTGGTAGAGTGCTCACCTTGAGCTGAAGAGCTCAGGGACAGCACCAGGGCCCAGAGTTCAAGCCCCAGGACCAAAAAAAAAAACAATAAAAAACAAAAAACAACCCCCCCAAAAAAACCCCACTGGAATATATAAGAATAAAAGGCTATAACCTTGGCCCTGAGTGGTAAGAACACCTGCTTAGCAAGCACAAGGTCCTGACTTTAAATTCTTTAAACTTCTGTATTGCTCAAAGAAAATTTTGTTTTTGTTTTTTTTTGGTCCTTTTGTGGGGCCTGAACTCTGGGCCTGGGAGCTGTCCCTCAGCTCTTCAGCTCAAGGCTAGCACTCTACCACTTGAGCCACAGCGCCACTTTCAGCTTTTTTCTTTTTTCTTATGTGGTGCTGAGGAATCGAACCTAGGGCCTCAGGCATGCAAGGCAAGCTCTCTACCACTGAGCCACCTTCCTAGCCCTGCTCAAAGAAAATTTTAAAAAGAAAAAAAAAGAATAAAGGCTAAAGGTTACATATTTATAAAAAGTGGATGCTCAGTAATTTGCTACTATTTGTTATTAGTTGTCTTTGCTTGTAGAGCTGGTGAAATGAGAAAGAACATTTTGTTAACTTTTGTGTCTAATCCACAATATGTAACAATCAAAAAAATCACAGCAGAAGACAATTAAAACAGTAGCAAAGGGCCTTGATACTATGTAGCAAAGATGGGAGAGGCTCAAATTCCAACACTGGAATTCCTATTACACCAAAGATTCAAAGCAATATTTATAGGCCTGACAAGAGTCCAACAAAAGAAAAACCTATAAAATCAATTTAAATGTTACATCATTGGGTAACAGACAATCTCTATTTAGTCTTTAAAGTGTATAATGGCAAATACAATACAAACAGATCCATGTAGGTTTTAGAGTGAAAATTTTAAACTTGTCTTTTTTATTATTCACCTTTTTTCTAGATTAAATACCAGACCAGATTATATTTAAACATGGCCTTTAGTTTTATTAGGTGTAATGAACTCTGATGCATCATCAGGGACCTACCTAAAAAAGAAAAAAACAAACAACAAGAAAAATACTTATTAATTTACAACTGGGGATACACAGATAACAAAACTAAAAAAGCTAATGGTTTTAGAAAGGTATCTGGGGAGTCATAGAGGCCCACAGGAGCAAATCCTTGCGGTGAAAGCTCGGAAATTCTGCAGAGCCAGGAAGGAGGTGCCTGCTTTCAAATGGCTTTCATGCAGAACAGACAGCAAAATGGAGTTCAGTAGGGTGGTTCCCTTTCATTCTCTCAGTTAAGGCAAGCTAATTATTTTCTGCCTCCTTTTAAAAGTAATAAAGGGAAAAGAGAAAGTGAAAACAGGATTCAGATATGTTCCTGTTCCCCTGTAAACCCAGTATGGAAAATGTCATCAAATTTGGATTCTAAACCAAAAATGTTTTAACAACAAATATTCATCAAAATTAAGAACAACACACACACACACACATTTACAAAATACATGTACATATTAATTAACAGTGTAAAGTTGTCATTTGAAGTAATCAGTGAAGGCTTTGCCAACTCTGGGTAAGGTAACAGGTGAATATGAGCTATAAATTCTTCCTGTCTTACACTTACCTTTTTGTTGTTCTGACACTACCACTGTAACATTTTTAAGTTTAGTAACGAGCATAACTCTGCTAGAGCAATCTTTAAAGCCATACTCTGACCCTAACCTCTATGCACTTTCAGGGCTCAATAATGTAGTTTCTGGTCCTGGGTTAGATTTTCCAGAGGAAAGTGTATGTGTTAGTCTATCCACTATAATCTGAGCATCCTAGAATTAAACTATAACCAATTGATGTAGCTTGATAAAAACCAAATTGTTTTTTAGAAAGCCCCACGTGGCACAAGAAATTCTTACTACCTAATATCGTTCAGTGTGGGGAAAAAAAAGGTTCCTTTCTCAAATTTCTCAATAAAAGTCTCTTTTTCTTCTTTTTAAGCCTCTAGAGCCGTTTTTTTTGTAAAGTTGGTGGCTTAAGGCTGAAGCTGGGGCCTACTCCATCCAAATGGTCTCAACGTTTAATGCTTAGGAACTCTTTCGCCTGATGGAAATATCACATGCTTCCAGTCTTTCTTCGAACCTTAGTAACAAGAAATTGCCATAAACAACATCGAATCTGGTTTTCTCAGGTTCGATTCTATCATCTTACCGAATGCCCATCAGGGAGCGAGAAAAGAAAAAGGCAACAACAACAACAAAAATCCCAGAAAACTCACTGACTTTGGGTGGCAACATGGAAAACACAATCAGCTGAGCTATTCTGGATGGAACGGCAGGTTCTGCGTTTTGGGGTGCACCGTCCTTAAAAGTCTATGAGGCTCTGGAGTCCTCGGGTGGTCCACGCGGAGATGGCCCTCGCCACCGCAGGCCCGCAGCCGCCCGGCTCCGCCCTCCTGCTCGCCGCAGTCAGCAGCCCCGCAGGCCCGGACGGGGAGGGGGCTCCGGACGCCAAGCCCGCCTCTGCGGCGGCCAGGCTGGGCCCGGAATGGCCGCGCCGGGCCGGAGGAGGGGCCCTCCCGCCCCTCCCCAGCCTCTACTTAAGAGGCTCAGGCGTCACCTCCGCCCCAGTGCGTTACTTACCTCGACTCTTAGCTTGTCGGGGACGGTAACCGGGACTCGGGGTGCCTGCTCCTGCTCCTGTCGCCTTTGCCACCAAATCCACAGTCATCATGGTAAGTGGGCTCTGCCTGCGGAAGGACGGGGGATAAGCCAAGCTAGGGGGGCGCGAAGGGCACCCCCCCATCCAGCCTCACAGATCTGGGTTCAGCATGGTGCTTTAGGGTTGCAAAAGGCGAGGGTCGCGGGACTGAGGCCCAGGACTGCAGAGGATGGGAGGGGCCCAGATGACGGGAAACGGGCCCGATTCCTCTCTCCGCTTCTAAGAGGGATGGTGGGGTGCCAGGAACTCGATATCGCCTCATTTTGGACGCAGTTAGCACACCGTGGATGCGATGCCTGAAGACCCTTTTTTTTCCCCCCCTAGCGCATGCCCTTCCCCCACCTTCCCCCTCAGCTGCTGGCGGCCACGCGCACACGCCCCGCCCTCATTTCCTCTTGGGCGCGAAAAGCGGGGGCGGGAGAGGCCAGAGCGCATGCGCGACGGTTACTTTCCCGCGCCTGAGAGGCGGGAAACGGCCCCTGCAGTCTACGCATGCGCGTTAAGGCTCTGCGGATTTCTGTCCGCAGGGTGTGACTCCTTTCCACTGAATTACTTATTTTTATGTATTTAGTGAAATCAGTAAGTATAGGGATTGGATCCCTACAAGGACCCCCTTACACCTTAGCCATATTAGAAAAATAACATCCCTGATCACCATTAAAGGCCATCTGTCTGTCCCTCCTGTGTTAGGAATTCGAGTGGAAGCAAGTGTTGTCAGGGAAGGATTTTTGAGGGGATGGAAATCGGATCCTGGGCCAGATCTGGGCCGCAGATAATCCTCTGCTGCGCCTAGACAGATGTGGAGGTGCTGGGCTGAGGCCAGTGGCTGGGTGTGGGGAGGGTGGACCGCAGGAGCTCCGCAAGACTCTGCAACTGCTCGGCCCCACCCAAAGCTGGGTATGAGCTCCTCGGGCGTGACTGCCCATTCATCTTGTGCGGCAAAGCCCCACCCTTTGTCCCTGCAGCCCGACATTTTCTCTACACCGCCTTGGCCATGTGTTTCCTCTTGGAGCTGACCGGAAGTGTAGCCCCCTACCCAAAGTGGATTCTGGGGCCTGGAGGAATGACCTTACTAATCTTGGTCTAGCAAAAGAGGAAGCAGTGACTCAGCAGTCTCCCTAGTTTTCAAAAGAGGTTTTCCCAAAGTAGGAGTAGGAAAGAAATTAGCCATTCTTCCCTGCAAAAAAAATTTTTTTCCACTGAAGATTACATCCAGAGCCATGTGTTCCACCACTGAACTATCTAACCCAGGCTCAAATTATTGTTATATATATTTTTTGGTCGGTCATGGGCTTGAACTCTGGGCCTGGGAGCTGTCTCTGTGTTTTTCAGCTCAAGGCCAGCACTCTACCACTTGAGCCATGGCACCATTCCTGGTTTTCTAGTGGTTTATTGGAGATCATCTCCCAGACTTTACTGCCAAGGCTGAATATGAATGGTGAATCTCAGATCTCAGCCTCCTCAGTAGCTAGGATTACAGGCGCTAGCCACCAGCGCCGGGCTCAAATTATTTTTTTAATACAAGTTTAAGTTTAAGGTTCTGTGGTGCTTTTATCTATTTGTCACTCACAGATTAGAGCCTAAATTTTTCTTTCATTTTTCTTTCCCACAGCGTGAGTGTATCTCCATCCACGTTGGCCAGGCTGGTGTCCAGATTGGCAATGCCTGCTGGGAGCTCTACTGCCTGGAACACGGCATCCAGCCTGATGGCCAGATGCCAAGTGACAAGACCATTGGGGGAGGAGATGACTCCTTCAACACCTTCTTCAGTGAGACAGGCGCTGGCAAGCACGTGCCCAGGGCAGTGTTTGTAGACCTGGAACCCACAGTCATTGGTGAGCTGACCTCAGTAACTAACCCAGGGGATTTCCCAAGGTTCTGAGACAAGAGATCTGTCCAGGGGCTCCACTGATGATGGCCCAGGCTTGTGCAGGTTGTTAGTGACGGGTGGTTTGCTTTCTTCCTTTGGCAGATGAAGTTCGAACTGGCACCTACCGTCAACTTTTCCACCCTGAGCAGCTCATCACAGGCAAGGAAGATGCTGCCAATAACTATGCCCGTGGGCACTACACCATTGGCAAGGAGATCATTGACCTCGTCTTGGACCGGATCAGAAAACTGGTATGTTTATGTTTATTCTTGAGAAGAAAGCTCATTAACAGATAGAAGAAAGACATTTGAAAAGTTGCTTTTTCAAAGAGAACTGAAATGTGATAGCAAGATGATTACTTGATTAAAATGCCTTTTCTTTTCTTCATTTAAACTAGAGACTGAACTTGAGACTTCAAGATCTAAGTCCTTGGACAGATTTTTTTTAAGATAGTATATTTACTATGATCATAAAAAGCTATATGCCTTTGTGTTTTGCAGGCTGACCAGTGCACAGGTCTTCAGGGCTTCCTGGTCTTCCACAGCTTTGGTGGGGGCACTGGCTCTGGCTTCACCTCCCTGCTGATGGAGCGTCTCTCTGTGGACTATGGCAAGAAGTCCAAGCTGGAGTTCTCCATTTACCCCGCCCCCCAGGTGTCCACAGCTGTAGTTGAGCCCTACAACTCTATCCTCACCACCCACACCACCCTGGAGCACTCTGATTGTGCCTTCATGGTGGACAATGAGGCCATCTATGACATCTGTCGTAGAAACCTCGATATTGAGCGCCCAACTTACACTAACCTGAACCGCCTTATTAGCCAGATTGTGTCTTCCATCACAGCTTCCCTGAGGTTTGATGGGGCCCTGAATGTTGACCTGACAGAATTCCAGACCAATCTGGTGCCCTATCCCCGCATCCACTTCCCCCTGGCCACATATGCCCCTGTCATCTCTGCTGAGAAAGCCTGTAGCAGAGATCACCAATGCTTGCTTTGAGCCAGCCAACCAGATGGTGAAATGTGACCCTCGCCATGGTAAATACATGGCCTGCTGCCTGTTGTACCGTGGTGATGTGGTTCCCAAAGATGTTAATGCTGCCATTGCCACCATCAAGACCAAGCGCAGCATCCAGTTTGTGGATTGGTGTCCCACTGGTTTCAAGGTTGGCATCAATTACCAGCCTCCCACTGTGGTTCCTGGTGGAGACCTGGCCAAGGTGCAGCGCGCTGTGTGCATGCTGAGCAACACCACAGCCATTGCTGAGGCCTGGGCTCGCCTGGACCACAAGTTTGACCTGATGTATGCCAAGCGTGCCTTTGTCCACTGGTATGTGGGTGAGGGGATGGAGGAAGGAGAGTTTTCTGAGGCCCGTGAGGACATGGCTGCCCTAGAGAAGGATTATGAGGAGGTTGGTATGGATTCTGTTGAAGGAGAGGGTGAGGAAGAAGGAGAGGAGTACTAATCACTCATTCCTTTGGCCCTGCAGCATGTCATGCTCCCAGAACTTCAGCTTCACCATTAGCTGGCAGTCACTAAAATGTTTCTGACTAGATTCTGTTCAACTGTGATCATGTCTGTCTTTTTCCATGTGTGTAAGGTTTTAATCCATTATGTCTCAAAAGTAAAGGCTTTAAGAAATTTTATTTTGTCTCCTGTTCTGTTTTATTACTTAGTCTTGGGATTATAGGATCCAATAAGGCCCCTCATACTTGTCTAGTTACTTCTATAGTGGAGGGAGACTATCATTACAGTCCAAATTAGTCTTAATTCAGCCATTCCATAACAAAAAAGTTGTGGAAATCAAAGCTAATGTGCTAAGGCTGGGAATATGGCTTAGTGGTAGAGTGCTTGCCCAGCATGCATGAAGCCCTGGGTTCCATTCCTCAGTATCACATAAACAGGAAAAGATTGAAGTAGCACTGGTTCAAGTGGTAGAGTGCTAGCTTGGAGCAAATGAAGCTCAGGGACAGTGCCCAGGCCCCGAACTGAAGCCCCAGGACTGGCCAAAAAAAATTTGTTAGTGTTTGGCCCTGGGTATTATATACTACTTGAGCCACAGCTAGAGGAGTCTCATGGACTTTACCTACCGCTGGGGCTGGCTTTGACTAAGGAACTTTATAGCTCAGCCTTCTGAATAACTAATATAGGTGTGAGCCTGTTAATAGCTATTCATAGGGGCCTAGCATTAACTCTGAAAATTATCCTTCAACTGAAAAGCAGGTAAGGAGCTATTTTGAGGGTAATATAAAGGTCATGTGTCCAAGGTGGGAAAGTTGCAGAACCAATCAAGCCCTGCTAGGAAAGAACCAAACTGGGAAAAGTCCTAAGCATTGATAGAGCCAAAAGGGACATTGTAGCTTTCAGCAACATACTAGAATATAAGGTAACACTTGTTTACATTGTTTAAGGCATATAGTTTGGTTACATCTAAAGGACTTCTGCATTAGGTATGAACTTAGTCTTGGGTAGTATGTTTCAGGTCCTGGATACAAGATCTGGCACTACAAAGAGAAAAGGACAATGCAAACAGGATCTAGCCAGGGAAATACTCGCATTTCAATTTCAAAAAGTGCAGAGATAAAGCTACTGAGGATAAATATGAATTCTTTTTTTCCTAATGTGTTGTATTTGTGAAATAGAGAAAATCTGGTGGGTGGTGCTACAATCATACCACAAGCAACAAGGGCTACAGGGGAAGGTCGACTTTATTGTGAGCTAGTTAAAATGTTCTTTTTTTTTTGGGGGGGGGGTCCGGTCATGGGGCCTGAACTCTGGGCCTGGGCACTGTCCCTCAGCTCTTCAGCTCAAGGCTAGTGCTCTAGCACTTGGGCCACAGCGCCAGTTCTAGCTTTTTCTGTTTATGTGGTGCTGAGGAATTGAACCCAGGGCCTCATGCATGCAAGGCAAGCACTCTACCACTGAGCCACCATCCCAGCCTGCTTTTTGTTTTGTCTGTCATAGGACTTGAAGTTTGGGCCTGGGTGCTGTCCTGACCCAGCTCTTCAGTTCAGGGTGAGCACTCTACCACTTGAGGCATAGTAATGCCACTTCCAGTTTTCTGGTGGTTTATTGGAGATAATAGTTTCACAGACTTTCCTGGCCAGGCTGGCTTTGAACCATGATCCTCTGATTTCAGCCTCTTGAGTAGCTAGGATTACAGATAGGAGCCACTGGCACTCAGCTCCTGAGCTTCTTTTGTTCACAACTAGCACTCTACCACTGAGCCACAGCTCTACTTCCAGCATTTTTTTGTGATTAGTTGGAAATAAGAGTCTCATGGGTTGGGAATGTGGTTTAGCGGTAGAATGCTAGCCTAGCATGCATGAAGCCCTGGGTTTCATTCCTCAATACCACATAAACAGAAAAAGATGGAAGTAGTGCTTAGGCTCAAGTGGTAGAGTGCTGGCCTTGAGCAAAAGCAGCTCAGGGAAAGTGCCCAGGCCCTGAATTCAAGCCCCAGGAAAGGAGAGAGAGAGTCTCTCATGGACTTTTTCTGGCTGGATTTGAATCTGAATCAAGATCCTCACATCTCCGCCTCCTAAGTGGCTAGGCATGAATCACCAGTCCCTGGCTAGAATACAATTTGGACAAGATCACCCTGAAGGTAGGCATTTTAAGCAATGAGGAAAACTTAAGATGATTTATTGTTGAAAGGGATTTACAGTTTTGCAATAGTGCAGAACTCATCTTGACAGTTGTCTAAATGCTCTGAGGCATCCCCACCCCCTTTTTCTACAATGAAAGTAAGAAAAGTAGTCTAGAACCTTGCCCTCTGTGGGCTAAAATCAGGGAAGTATGTGGTCAGTGCAGTGTGCCACAGTTATGCATAACAGGGTAGACAGGAACAGGTAGGAACTGAGAACTATAGGTCTGTATCTAATAGCTTGGTTTAGTTGGGGGCGGGTAGGTTTTCATTGTTCATTTAAGTCCAGAGCTTCCCACCTACTAAGCAAAGGCTCTTCCCAGAACCCCTAGGGTACAAGGTCCCTTCAAAATAAAGGTCTGGGGCTGGGAAGGTGGCTCAGTGGTGGAGCGCTTGCCTTGCATGCCTGAGGCCCTGGGTTCGATTCCTCAGCACCACATAAGCAAAAAGAAAAAAGCCGGAAGTGGTGCTGTGGCTCAATTGGTAGAGCGCTAGCCTTGAGCTGAAGAGCTGAGGGACAGTGCCCAGGCCCAGAGTTCAGGCCCCACGACTGGACCCCCCAAAAAAAAATCAAAATAAAGGTCTGGGCTGGGAATGTTGCTTAGTGCTAGAGTGCTTGCCTAGCATATATGAAGCCCTGGGTTCCATTCCTCAGTACCACATACACAGAAAAAGCTGGAAGTGGCATTGTGGCCCAAGTGGTAGAATGCTAGCCTCGAGCAAAAGAAGCTCAGGGACAGTGTTCACACCCTGAATTCAGGCCCCAAGACTAGCAATAAATAAATAAATAAATAATTAAAAATCCATACTATATAAGACAACAATGTTTAAATGATGAATGGTGGTGGTAGATATTTGCTCTTCTATTATTTTTGCTCTTCTATTATTATTGTTACCACGTAACAAAACCAATTGCTCACCAGGTGCCAGTGGCTGACACCTGTGATCCTAGCTACTCAAGGGGCTGATAGAGGTTTAAAGTAAGCCTGGGCAGGAAAGTCTGTGACACTCTTCTCTCCAAGAAGTGGAACTGTGGCTTAAGTGCTAGAGCACTAGACTTACAAAAGCTCAGGGACAGTGCTCAGGTCCTGAGTTTAAGCCACAGTACCACCTCTCATCCCATACCCACATACAAACTTTGTGGCCTAATAAATGTAAATGGGGGCTGGCAATGTGGCTCAGTGGTTAAGTACTTGCCTAGCATTCATGAAGCCTTGGGTTCACTTCCTCAGTGCCACATAAATAGAAAAAGCTGGAAGTGGTGCTGTGGCTCAAGTGGTAGAGTGTTAGCCTTGAGCAAAAGAAGATCAGGGACAGTGCCCAGGTCCTGAGTTCCAGCCCTAGGACTGGCAGAAGAAAAACAAATGTAGAGGGGGAGTATAGCTCATTGGTAGGTAACACCACCAAAAACAAAACAAAACAAAACCAACAAGCAGCACCAACAACAACCAAAACAATATTTTATTTAATGCAAAAAAAAAATTTTTTAATCAGTTGTGGGGCTTGAACTCATGGCCTGGGCTCTGTCCCTGAGCTCTTTTGTTCAAGGCTAGTATTCTACTACTTTGGACCATAGCTCCATTTTTGGTTTTTGAGTGGTTAATTGGATATAAGAGTCTCATGGGGTGGGGAGTAGGGGAGGGTGCTGGGATGTAGCTCAGTGGCAAAGTGCTTGCCTAGCTAGTGCAGTGTCCTGGGTTCGATCCCCAGTACCAAAAAAGAAAGACAAAATATTAAATGGGCTGGGAATGTGGCTTGGTGGTGAAGTGCTTGCCTAGCATGCATGAGACCCTGGGTTCAATTCTTTGGAATCATGTAAACAAAAAAAAAGAATATCATGGAGCCTTATCTGCCCAAGCTGGCTTTGAACCTCAATCCTTACCTCTCAGCCTCCTGAGTAGCTAGGAGTACAGGTATGAGCAACTGGTGCCCAGCTTGTGTGTGTGTGTATATGTGTATGTGTGTATATATGTGTGTGTGTGTGTGTGTGTGTGTGTGCCAGTACTTGGGCTTGAAATTCTGGTCATTTGCTCTTGCTCATCTTTTTTTTTTTTTTTAACTGTGTTGTACCACTTTAGCTATACTGCTATACCTCCTGTCCAGCTTTTTTTTTTTTTCTTCAGTCATGGGGCTTGAACTCTGGGCCTGGGCACTACCCCTCAGCTCTTCAGCTCAAGGCTCTATACTTGAGTCACAGTGCCACTTCTGGTGTTCTGTGAGATAACAATCTCACAGACTTTCCTGCCCAGGCTGGCTTTGAGCCGTGATTCCTGAGATCTCAGCTTCCTGAGTAGCTAGGATTACAGATGTGAGCTACCAGCACCCAGCATATCTTTTTGTTTAAAATGGGGGGAGAGGGGGAAGAAGGGCTAGGTACCAGTAGCTCATGCCTATAATCCTAGGATTGCAGTTCCAAGCCAGCCCAAACAGAAAAGTCCCTATCTGACTCTAATTTCCAAATAGCCACTAAAAAACCAGAAGTGGCACTGTGGCTCAAGTGGTAGAGCACTAGCCTTGAGCACAAAGAGGCTCAGGAATAGCACCAAAGCCCTGAGTTCAAGCCCCACACCTGATGAAAAAAAAAGCTGAAATTCCTTCACAACTTAGCTAATATTCTTTGTGTGTGTGTGTGTGTGTGTGTGTGTGTGTAGTATTTGTACACACACTGGGTCTTGAACTCAGGGCCTGGGCACTGTCCCTTAGCTCTTTCACTGAGGTAGATATGAGATCAGAGGGAACATGGGTGTTTCAGTTCTATGGAAGTCCAGGTTTTGATTTAGGAGCATGCTTAGAGTAAGGGCCTTGAGTGAAGGAGCAGGGAAGAACATTTACCCAGAAATGCCATTTTCCTCCTTTCCCGAGGTAAATTCCTTAATGCCCTGCAGATGGCACCACTGACAAGGAGTTCTCAGTCCAGGACAGCCAAGCTCAGACCTTTGCTATCACCACCTTGGAACTGAGCCTCAAAGGTGAACAAACAGGAAGTGACTGG